TCTCCAGACTGATTAGCGAGTGAAACCTTGAAAGCTCGCGAGATCAGAATGATCTGACGAGGCTAGCGTCATTGAAGCGTTTCGATAGATTGCCAAACTCTACTGATACTGTCGCTCATTACTGACACCTGCTGGACCTTCAAAAGCCTAACGGGCAGCCTATTTATCCCCTTTTCCATTTATAATAGTGGGTTAAACCATGTTTTTCAAACATGGATCGACCTGCTAAGAATTGGCATTTGGCTCCCTTCCCACTGGCAAAAATAAGATGGGTCTAACCCAGAGGTCGAGGATTAGCAGACCGCAGTCTGGATCTGGACCCACCTGTTGGCTAATCTGGACCCAACCTGATTTCAAACATTTATAAATTACTGCATGTTTTTGGACGACAGTGTCAAACTTCACTTGCGCCGCTTCTCCTGTTAATACGGTAAAGCCCTCCGGAGCGTCCGGCTCCAGGCTGCACGTGATCCAAATGAGCCAATGAGCTTTCAGTCTGGGTTGCTGCTGCTGCTACTTTTAGACACAGCAGGCAAACCTGTGGCAAGCCGGGCGATGGGAAAGAAGGAGAAAACGATGAGAAAAAGAGAGCAGAGAAAGTGTGGACTGCTGGAAGAACTGCGGTGAACTGTTGAAAGAAAAGTGAAATGGCGTGCTCAAAGATGACCCTCCATTCTCACTGCAGCCTGAAGTGACCCAAATCCAATTTTTTGGCCCGTATGTGACTGGTAACTGATCTTTTCATGGCTGTCTGAACAACACGGATCTGATTTTTTTCCAATGCGACCCAGGCCACTTGGCTCCTTGGTCCTGAATCCGATACCAATCTGATCTTTTCAAATGTGACCTGTGTCATCCAACCTGAAAGTCATTAATACCCGACAAAGGTCACTATTCTGGGTCTTGCTATGAAGAAGAGGCAAGAAAAACAACAACCATGGCGGGCTATGATGCGGAGAGCAGTATTTATGTTTAACCAGCTTGAAAATATTGTTTTTATGGTTGGGAAAGATCGCTAGACGTGCTCCGTCACTACCTTCCATAAACAAAGAGCACGCTGACCTGTGATGTCATTGTGTCCTCTATTGCGCATGCAGGACACCCGTTTTCTATGACTGCAGATCACTCAGCAGATCACATACAAGTCACATATATTTGGAAATGTGAACGGCAAAACACAAAAAAATTGGATTTCACAAAAAAAAATCAGAATTAAGCATCAAGGGCTGCAGTGTGAACGTAGCCTTAGAGAATGTGAGGCTCAACCTGCTGCTGTGAAGCAGGATTCTCAACCGTGAATAGAATAATAAAAAAAAATAGATCCAGGGTCAAAATGAGCACCTTGATATGTGCTTGAGAATGCAGTGTTCACTTGTGTGTGCTGTGTCACAATGACAATGGGAGTTGGAGGAGTTTCCCAAAGGGCTTTTCACTTTTCACTTTTTCACTTTCACTTAGTCTCCATTTAAGCCCAGGTTTAAAGCCTTGCAGGGCAGCCTAAAGCCCACTGCCAACATCAAGACAGAAAAAAGAAAGAAAATAACCATCAGTTCAATCCAATCAAATCCAAATCCTATCCAACCACACCTGATCAAAGAGATGGGTGATCTCGATTCGGACCGGATCTTTCAGGCCCTGGATGGAGAGGTTCCCGACGCTGCTGGCCACCACGTAGCTGTTCAGAGACCAGCCGTTCTGCTCTGTCTGCAAAAGAAACACCCAAACAATCACCAAAACTATTCCCATGATCCTCGCTGATGAAGCTCAGACATTTGGTTCGTCTTCTCACCATGAACAGGTTGGGGTTGCTGAAGAACATGAAGTTGATCCTGGAAAGTGACGACCTGTCGAAATCGCCTGATGAGACCCCGGTCAGCAGGGAGGAGGGGAGCGTGACCTGAGCCAACGGGTTGGTGGTCCGATCAAACTCGACCTGCAGGGTAAAGAGTCAACAATGAAGCCAACGCAGCTCAGAATAGATTTTGTTAGAACCTTCCATGATGTTTACCTTCGGGTCATTGGAGTTTGGAAGGAAGACGGTGCTAAACGAAGTCTCGTTGAACAAGCTGGCATTGAGGGCCAGTATTCCTAAAGCCAGATGTTTGGAGGTGATGTTGACTGACGGACCATCAAATTCCAGCTTCTTAGCCAGCTCTTCCATAGCCCTCAGAGCTCTGGAGGAAAAACGGCAAAAAATTAAGAAAGGCTTCCCTAAAGTCTGGACCTACTGATCTCTGGAGAGCTCAGTTCCTCAGACAGACCAGAGAGAGGAGATATTCTCTGACATCATGCATAATAAGACGGCATTTCCTTTTTATTACAACTAAATCAGTCTCCGTATCACCTCATGTCTTCTTACTAGGGATGGAACGGTTTATGAAAACCGTCCGAACCGTTCGGTTCGAGTGGCTCGGTGCGATTCGCGTGTGTTTCGTTC